TAAGAAAATTAAATACCTTTTAAGATTATTTCATATTTATATTAAATAACATTTTTGAATACTATATTGATGTGTTTGCATGCATGCATTACAAGCAGAATTTCTAATGAGTTATTCAGGCAAATGTGTAGACTGCACATATACATATATTAACATGTGTATAAGACTTTGTGTTTCTTTGTCTATTTCTTGATAAGCTGGCATTTAACGTTCACACTTAAATTGTGTGAGCATACCCTGACATTGTCACATAGCGTAAGGCATATTAAACATTATGGAAATGCAAACAAAATTTAAAAATACAAAGATGATATATAGGTATGTTTAAATAGTCGTAAACCTCTTCTACCTTACCAGAACTCTACACAATATGTGATAAGAAACAACTCTACACATTTGCTCTTTTCAAAATTCCCCCCGTTGGGTATTTCAATAGAGCAATATCTGTCAACAGTTAATTCTTTTTTTTTTTATTTGGTTATTCACCAGCTGAGCGCGTGCAAAGCTTTTTTGCATTTGCCAGCACAGCAACAATATATATTTATTTCGTTGATTGCCAAACAGGTTGGAGACGAAAGCTTTTGAAGCCAACGAAATGTATGTATATTTCATGCTATTCAAACATGGCATGTGCACATGAGTAATGCCAGCCAGCCCCCAGAAAGTTGTGTACGAAAGGTCAACATACAAATTTTCTATTGGTAGCACCTGTAAAAAGTTTCTTAAGCTCACAATAAATTTCCCACCCTATCCCAAGTATGACCCATGACAAGTCATTTGCTTTGTCTTTCAGTGACTCACCTTTGCCTGCTGCTTTCTTATTGCGTCGTGACATATTGATGCTTTTGTTGTTGCTGTTGCGTTGTTCGCTAGAACCACGAATTTTGTGTTTGGGTTGGCTTTCGCTCTTCTTGACTACGATCGTTGTTGTTATTGTTGTTGCACGCACACAAACACAAGCACAATAGCCGTTCGACAATGTCCTTTTGAACGCGCGAGCGATTGAATGAGAGAGAGTCTACACAAAAAGTCTACACACACGAGTTTGGCGGCAACTATTGGCGGTTTTTGCACGTGCTTCTTGCTTTTATTGATTTTCTATGAGTTGGGCGTTCAGGAATTTAGGTTAGAATTTTTGTTTGTGATTGGATGAGGCGAGAGTTCTTTTTTTATTTGCTTTGCTTCAATTGCAAGATTCTTAATCAAGATGCAGCTATGCAAAAGCTTTTATGTTTCCAATATTGTCTTTGTTGCTGCGCTTGCTGTTGCTGTTTGTTGCACAACACGCGTTTGGAAATGTTGAGAACTTTTACTGAACTGAATGATGTTGACTTGAACGCGCGTTTTATATTTATACACTTGTGCTGCTGCTGTTGGTGCTTCTGATTATAAAAATGTTGGTCGTTGCTGTGTGATGACACAAATTTCATGTTTAATTGAAATTGAATTTTCTTTAGCGATTTCCTTGGCCTTGAGACTGCTACTGTGTCTGTGACGTCGACAGCGCCGCCTTTTCCGAGGGTGTTAATCGAGAGTTGTGAAATTGTTTGCTTCACAGTTTGTAGCTTCGTTTGCTATTGACTGTTGTTTTCAATATGCACGCAGGCACAGCTTTTTGTTTGATTAGTGTAGCTTTTGGAAAAAGCTCTACGTTGTCGATGAGTTGTTAAAATAATGCAAATAATTAAGCACTTTTCGTATTGCTGAAGTTGACGAAATTATAATGACACATTCGGATCAGTGTTGAGAACTGATTGAAGCTGGATATCGAAATTTATTTATCGAATTTATCGGATTGCACAACCTTGCAATTAGTGCACCTGCGCACACTGTGGCGAAAAGTATATCCCAGTCATCAAACTTAAGCGGAATGTTGCAAAATAAAATTTTTGATGTCTGCAATATTTTGTCTTGACTTTATTTTGATAGTATCGTAACTAAAAATAATTGTGTTTAAAATAAAGCCTGTACACGAAATCAGGGTTGATATTTGTGAGTATCGAATCAGCTGTTTGACAAATAGGGCGCCAACTGTAAATACAATTAAATTGTAAATAAACAATCAAGTGCACATATTTTTTTTTTTTAATTATTATTAACAAAGTCAAATTTAATAAACATCAAAAATAATTCTTTATTATTTATATTGTTCACTGTTTGAGCCTAAGGTTATGCATAGGCAATGTGCGCAACAAAGCCAAGGGAATGTCCAATTATTTTTCATATTTTCTCATAGTTGTTCTTTATTTAACAGAAATCAATAATACTTAATTTACGAAAAAAAGCAAAAGAGTTTAATCAAATTTGGTTTTACTTTTGTGGCCAATTTATTTGTTGAAATTACGTTTTATTCTATGTTAATCAATTACTGATCAATAAATAGACCATCTACATATATTTGATAGACATGGCAAACGTATTCTTTAACATACTCTTCAAATTACGATCAACTTTCAGTCATTGGTTTTCAAAAACGTAGTTCAATTGAATCTATTGCAGGAGCACCCAGTATTTGGAATCGATATCGACAAATACCATTTTAATAAGTATCGCAGCCCTCAATAGATATCGATATGTGGGACCACATACACAATCATTGGCCATAGTATGTTTATTTTTATTGCAAAACGCATTTAAAACAAGTAGCAAACTGTCGGTTGCTGCTTTATTGTTCGCATAAACAAATCACACTTCATGCTGATAAGTAGTTCATTATCGGAGATGCTCGTTTGCTACAAACAAGCAAAATAACAATCAACGAAGACAGCAATAATAAATATACTGCATTGAACTTCGACTCGAAGAGAACACGAACTTTGTCACTTTAACACACACACGCACATACGTATGCATTCGAAAGCGTCAGTCGCTGATGTGGATGTGAATCAATAACCAAATTCCAGCAACAACAACAAAAACAACGACGACGACACCAATCTGATAGATATTTACAGCGTCAGTTTTGGGTGTCTGCACTTGCACAAGTTAATTAGGTAATTTGTAAGCTGCTTGCAACAGCATCAGCGCCATTCACCAGCGTGTCTAGAAAATGTTCAAAATACAAACAAAAATAGCTCGCTGATTGGCGAAGCGATTATCGCTGAACCTTAACCAACAATAACTGTATCTAATCTATAGTTTATGGGTGGCTCAATTACAATTTCTCTATTGCAGCAATTTCAGTTGAGAGCTAACCATGGCCAGCATTGAGGAACGTTTCCAGGCCGCCGTTAATGTGATCAAAGGACTACCCAAGAATGGACCCTATCAGCCCAGCATGAGCATGATGCTCAAGTTCTATGGCCTGTTCAAGCAGGCATCGGAGGGCGATTGTTCACCCAAGAAGCCGGCCTTCTGGGATGTGGTGGGCCGCGCCAAATGGGATGCCTGGAATAGCAATCGGCACTTGACCAAGGAGCAGGCGATGCAGCGCTATGTGGAGAGTCTGCAGGAGATAATTGAGACGATGTCATTTACCGAGAATGTGCAGAACTTTGTTGGCAGCCTCGACGGCCTGACCAACATCAACCTGGATGAACTGGATCTGGTGTCGCCCGGCATGCGTGAGCTAGCCGAATCGCATCCCAATTCGCCATTCCATTCGCGCACAAACAGTCCGCAGCATGGCAACAGTGCAAATGGCACTGAAGTTGCAGCTGGGAGCACGCCCCCAACTGCTGCGTCCACCGAGACCTTAACTAATGGCCACACAACGCCACTTACCAATGGCTTTACGAGCATGAAGGCAAGCAATGGCTACTCGCCGCTTGATTCGAGCAACAATAACAACTACACAAACAACAGCAGCGTGGCCATTGTGGAGCCATCCGACGATGAGTACGACGATCCCTATGAAACGATGCTGCCCCAAGAGCTAACCCAAGCCATTACTCACAACACGGATCTGCTGCGTCAAATCCAGAGCACAGTGGCGAGCATGAACAGCGACATGGCTGCAGTGCAGCAGCGCGTGAACAGCATGGAGCAAACGTTGCTGGAGCTGCGCAATGCCCAGAAAGTGCAAGCGAAGAGCGGACGTCAGCAGCAGCAGCAGCCGGCCTGGTGGCCATTCAAGGATATATCGCCAGTGTGGTTTGCAATGTTGGTGCTGTGGCCGTTCGTGGTGCGACGGTTGGCGCGAATGGTGGAGAGCAAACGCCGCTGACGGCGCATTAAACTAGCTAAATTGGTATGGTAGTTAAATTGTAAGTACCAAAAATTATTACCTAGAGGTCTGCAAAGAGAAACACACTCCAGCGAGTTGAATTACATTGAATAGGAAGCCGAAAAGGTACACTCGAAGAACTCAACTGAATGAAACGAATTGATTGAGTGAGTACGCGGCATAATATAAACAGTTCCGTCAAACGAAGTCAACATTCACTCCGTAATACGAAGATAGAAAGTGCTCTCGGTATTGCCAAATTCATCTTTCGTTTAGTAACTTGCACTTATTTAACTGACCGACCGAACTTGCTCTCAAACTCATACCCACTCAATTCATTGTATGGCACTCACAACACATTCAATCCAATTCGCATGCATTAAATTTTACGTATGCTGAGAGCGTAGCCATGCAGACCTCATATCAAATATTTATACATTTACTCAACTTATTTAATAATTATATCGTTTCGCTTGCCTTGCAGATACTCACGGTTATGGGCACGAGCTTTGTGTGGCTTGATTTTATTCTCGAATGCTTTGCACATCCTGTACAGAGTTGGCCTTGTATTTAGTTTCTTAAGATTTAACCAGTTGCAATATGTATATTTTATATATTATTATATGTGTTAGTCGCATGTAAGCTTATGTGTGGCACATTCCCATTCCACCCACCCACATCCAAACGCCAAGATCCCATCAATATTTTGTGTTAGTTTGTAAGCCAAATGTTTTCTTTTGTACATTTTGCCCAGGCTGGGCGCGCTTTTGCCTTGGCCCATAGCGTTGCCTCTTCGTTTTTTGTGCAGAGACTGCGGCAAATGGTTGTAAAATAATTCAAGCAAACAATTTTATTTGTTGTTAATTATAATTTTTGTAATAAAATCATGTAAAATGCTGATTATCACAATTCATAACTGTTCTTTGTGGGGAATGAGACGTTAGATCTGTGGCTGGGCCGTAATACGCAAATAGCTCTTGCCGGACGGCACTTCGATGGTCTCAATGCCCTTGGGGAACAGCTTGGGGACATCCACAGCCTGCACAGAGGGCAGCACCATGCACTGGCCGCCCTGCTTCCAATCGGCGGGCGTGGCCACGCTCTTTGTCTGAGTCAACTGCAGCGAATCGACAACGCGCAGAATTTCACTGCGAATTAAAATAGATCAATCAAAGTTTACATTTTATATTCCAATTGAAGCCCACTCGAAATTGCGACCCGTTGTAGCTGGATACAGAATAGAGAGACGGAGCTTCTTCTTGTTGTCAATGACGAAGACTGCGCGGCAGGTGAGCGGTATGCCCTCTGCACTGAGCTCATCCTTGTCCAGCATATTCAGCTTTACGGCTAATTCACGCTTATTATCCGCGATAATGGGATAATTAAAGCTGGACAACTCTACGCACAAATAAAAACAATTAATGTTTTGCAGCTAATCAAATTCAACCTCAACTCACTGGCATAACTCTTAATGTCCTCAATCCAGGCATTATGCGATTCTGCTGTGTCACATGACAGTGCAATTGGCTTAACGCCGCGCTTCAGAAACTCCGGCATTAGCTGAGCCACGCGGGCCAGCTCCGTGGTGCAAACGGGCGTAAAATCCGCCGGGTGCGAGAAGAGTATGGCCCAGCTATCGGCCATCCAGTCATAGAAATCGATTCTGCCCACATTCGTCTGAGCTTCGAAATTGGGAAACTGGTCGCCAATATTTAGTGCTTTGTTAGACATTTTAAGAAATCGACAAGTAACTAAAACGAACGAAAAGAGCTTATTAAAAACTTAACTGCAGCTGTCAAACTCTCGATAGACAGGCTATCAAATTAAATAGTCAAGTAAACGCGCTTTTAGGCTATCGATAGGTTGTTCGTCTAGCTATCGTATCTATCATTGGAAGTCTAATCAACAAGTAAAAGTGAACAAACAATTTTCAACAACAAACAACAATATAAATACACATACCCAACACAATAAGCAACATTTCGATCTATCAAATTAAATAATTCAAGCTATCGATAGCACTGGTCGCATCTCTTGCGATTGGTAGTTATCGTGTCTATCATTGGAAGGCTTATCAACAGGGCAACAAAAATAAACACATTTTCTTTATAGTACACACAAGAAATAATCTGCAATCATACCGAGCACGTCAAGCAACATTCCTGATCTTAGCATCAGCGGCAGCCAAATGAATCCTCCACCTCCGCCACCGCCTTCAGCTCCAAGCGCCTCAGAGCCGTTTCGAATAACAACAAATGCACCGCAAATGCTCGATGCAAACTTAACCCCCGGACGACGAAAGCTTCAGAAGTGGCTGGGCCGTGTCCTGCGCATCGTTATAACGGATGGGCGAGTTTTGGTTGGCTTCTTCAATTGCACAGATCGTGATGCAAACATTGTGCTGTCCATGTGCGCCGAGTACTTGGTGGAGGGACAAGAGCCTCGGCTGCTGGGCAACGTGATGGTGGCCAAGAAGCATATCGTTTCTCTGAACATCGATGAGCCGCGGACATCGACAATTCTTTAAGCCATTCATACAAATTCTGTAAGCATGCAATATTACCAAATGCAATACATGCAATACTCCTACAGTGCGCCCAAAAAGTTATCCTACAGTGTAGTTGCTCCGCTGAACGCACTTCAAAAGTCGCAGATAGGTCAGATCAAAAACAAAGGCAAAACCAATTGTTGGATATACAAAAAAATTTAAATTTTCTATATATAAACAGTCGAAAGGGCAATGTTTTTAATAAAAGATATACACAAAAAATTAATTATTTAGCAAAATATTTAATATGTGTAAATATTTACATATATATTTCTTGCAATATAATAATATTTATGTATATATATATATAAATATAATAGTACATATCTACATATTTAATTGAACCACTGTTTTGTTTGCTTGCCCCGGTGAATTGCAAAACATTGCGTTGCCAACTGCTATTTTCTCAACCGAATGAGCTCAATAAACTATTTCATATTTGTATTTAATAAATCAAATAAAATAAGAACACTTCTAAATATAGCCAATATTTTGATATATTGGCATCAAAACATTTATTTTAATGTACATGCATATACAGAGATTCAAACTGTTTACATATGTATATTTAGTTGAAAATCAGCTGCGGTTGTGGTATTTTTATTCGCTTTGTCATTTTTTAGTACATTTCGTGCGCTCCGCCTTTAACAAAGCAACAACTAAATTGTTGGAAAAAGCATTAATAATGTCAACACAGCAGTAGAGCAATTAATTGCTAAAAATCAACACTCAATTGAACACCAATCAGCGATGGATTTCACGACCTTCGTTAAGCCTTCAAATGGTGGTGCCACCGAAAGCGACGACACAAGCAAATTGCAATTTTGGAAGCATGTGAAATACATTGAGAATCATGGAAAGCAGGAGGACGACTACGAGTACTGCATGACCGAGTTCCTGCGTATGTCAGGCATCTTTTGGGGCGTCACAGCGTTGGACATAATGGGCCAGCTGGATCGACTCGATCGCAAGTCCATTATTGAGTTCGTCAAGCGCTGCCAGTGCCCGGTCAGCGGCGGCTTTGCGCCCTGCGAGGGTCACGATCCGCATATGCTGTATACGCTGTCCGCCATCCAGGTGCTGGCCATCTACGATGCTCTGGACGTCATCGATTGTGATGCCGTGGTGCGTTTCGTGGTCGGTCTGCAGCAGCCCGACGGCAGCTTCTTTGGCGATAAGTGGGGCGAGGTGGACAACAGGTTTAGCTTCTGTGCGGTGGCCACGTTGACACTGCTCAAGCGCATGGAGCAGACCATCGATGTGGAGAAGGCGGTTAAGTTTGTTATGTCGTGCTGCAACCAAACAGATGGAGGCTTCGGCTCCAAGCCAGGCGCTGAGTCACATGCGGGTGAGTCATAGCATATTTATCAATGATCAGTCATTATCCGTAATTCCTTGCAGGTCTCATCTATTGCTGTGTGGGCTTTCTCTCCCTCACCCATCGGCTGCATCTGCTGGACGTCGACAAGCTGGGCTGGTGGCTCTGCGAGCGGCAGCTGCCCTCGGGTGGACTTAATGGTCGCCCCGAAAAGCTGCCCGATGTCTGCTACTCCTGGTGGGTGCTCTCATCGCTGACGATTATGGGTCGCTTGCATTGGATTAGCTCCGAGAAACTGCAGCAGTTTATCCTCTCGTGCCAGGACACGGAGACGGGCGGCTTCTCGGATCGTACGGGCAACATGCCCGACATATTCCACACGCTCTTTGGCATTGGCGGCCTCTCCCTGCTGGGCCACCCCGGCCTGAAGGCCATCAATCCGACGCTCTGTATGCCGCAGTACATCATCGACAGGCTGGGCATTCAGCCGCAAGTGCTGAATCAGGCGTGAAATGCAGCAAACCTGATGATACTAAGACAAAAGCTATAGCCAATGTTAAATGATTAATTTATAGAACAGATACCTTAAAGAGCCCAAAAACAAATCGTACGATTCTAGTAAACAATGTCAAAAGTTCATTTCTATATTAGCTACACTTTACTTCTTTCAACAATTAGCGCTTGTTATGCATTTATATCTCAATTTATATATATATGTTCTATTGTTTTTTGATAAGCAAGCCGTGCTAACATCTTTTTATATTTGTAATGTAATAGAGTAAAAAGTTAATAAAAGACACTATTATTATTATAGCATGCAATTAGAGATCGAGAAGAATTTAAATACTTACGGTATGCAAAAAGAGAAATTGTAAAAAAGTTTTTAAAATTTACAGATGTAAAAAAGCTGCCTCAAATTTATTTCCTTATTTCTATCGCAGCAAGAGAACCTCCAAATTTATTTATGAAAAGAATTTACAATTTTGTAACCAAGAAAAATTTCTTAAAATTGATTTTTCAAATTAACAAATTAAAGTTTTATTTTATTACAGCTAGAGAAAATTAAAAAATTCAGATTTAAAACAAAAATGTTTTGATTATTTTAGTTATCAATTTTAAAAATTTATATTTTATTGCATTTATTCATTTACCAATTTTATACATTTTTATTTTATTGCAGAATGTGGAATCTTAAAATTTGTAAGTAGAGATCGAAGAGATTATATAAATCCGTGTACAGTTGGAATAATTCAAACCAAACCAAATTTTTATTTCAATGCAAAAATAAAAACCGAATGATTTAGATTTATATTTAAAACAAAAAGCGTAACATTTTGCGATTTGATTAATTTTTGTTTCATAGCAGCAAGCCAGATCCTAAATTTGAAGAATAAGCAAACAACTGTTTGTTTAAAAAAAACTACTTAAATTTCATTTTCCAATATAACAAATTTTTTATTTGATTGCAAAAATAAACTAATTATTATATTTTATAACTTGCATAGCTTCCAATTCATTTAAATGTTAAAACAATTCTATAAATTAGATATGCATGCAGAGATATATATAGTATTTACATATAAAGGTATGTATTTGAGTCTAAAACCTAGCAGGATGCTACGAGTCTATCGCAGCTTACGTTTGGTTACACACAAAATAAACACAAATTTGGAATTACAAGAAAAGGAACGACAAAACTACAAAGAAACAAAGTCAAGTGCGGCCCCTACACGAGTTAAAGCTAAATGAATTTGCGCTTTCAATTAAAGACAATTGAAATGAATTCATAGCACATAAATATTTTAACTGGCTAGCAGATATATAGACTATATAGTTCAGTAAATGTGTGAGTGTGTGTGTGTGTAGTATACTTCGATGCACGTCTAAGGCACTCCATAAACAATTTCAGCTATATATATATACATATAATATATATATATATATATCTACAGACTAAGTGAAGAAGAGAACTAGGAATTATTGAATTTCTCGTCGCTGGTTAAGACATTATAGGCACAGCCCAAGGCCCAAGAGATTTCATGGCCATCAATCTTCTTGTAGAGCTAGAAGAAAAGACACATATAAATATACATACATATATATTATATTATATTGTAATTAATTTCCCAATCTACCTTAATCTTCTTGCCATCGTTTAGGCCAAATCCTTCACGTAGCAGCACCGATATGAAGGTCAGGTCAAAGCACATGAAGGGCTGTTCATCATTGGGTATGGCACAGATCTCTTGGGCCTTCTTGCGATAGGCCTCCACGGTCGTCTCGCCGCCCGCTGTCGGATCCACCAGACCCGATTCGATGGCGCGCTCAAAGTAGTAGCTAAACGCCGCCACCGCATGCTGCTTGAGCGTGAAGGGTTTAGGCTTGACCAACGGCATCACCTTGCTCTTGACCAGCTCTAGGCAGGCCTCAAAATCAACCACTGGCTGCTCGGCGCTGGATTTGCTGTTCTCCTTGCCGCTCACTTGGTACTTGACATTGCCATAGATCCAGGTGCGATTGGCAATGATGGGATTTACGCAGATGCTCTCCACGAATGTCTCCTCGGCGCTGTAGCCCTTGGTGAAGACGGCATGTCGGGCGGCCATGAGGCCCAGGCCGAGATAACTGTGCGTGAACACATTGATCTTCTTGTTGGAGGTGATTACCTCGTGCATGTACTTGTCGTAGACGGGCACCTGCTCCGGGTCTGTGGGCGAGAAGGTGACCTGAGTGCTGCCGCCGCCCAGGTCCAGAGCGGCTGCCTGATTCGTCTTGGACAGGCGACCCAGCAGGAAATTCACAGTGAACCAGCTGAAGATGCCCTCGTCCGTGCCGTCCATGATCTCAACGGCATCGATGTCCACGCTGAACTCCGACTTGGCGAACAAATCCCGCACTGCATTCAGCAGATTCTCGGCCTTGCTCTGGGGCAGCAAGCGCAGGCCAGCCGTTGCCTTCAGCACCAGCGGCGTGGACGACCAATGCTCTTTGGGTATGAAGGCACGCGCCTCATCCAGCAGCAGCTTGATCGAGTGTGCGCCCTCGTGCGGCTTATCCGCGAACGAGCTGAGTCCCGGCTTGCGCTCCTTAAACAGCTCCTCGTAGAGCACCAGTTTGTTGTCAATGAAGCTGCGATTGAATTTATAGGCCAGGACGCGGCTGCCCGTCGAGCCGGCATCTATGATGGCGGCGTATTGGACCTTGCTGTAGCCCAGCTTGGAGGCGAGACGGGCCAGATATGGACTCGCATTATCCGAGGCAAGACCTGAACCAGATTGCGATTTTTGTTGTTGTTTGTTGTTGTATGAGCGATAGTTAATGGAGACAGTGGGCAGAACAGAGGATTTGGTTAGATTTGATTGGGCTGATTTAGCATAAAACAATTGATACACACCAAAGACAGAAAGCAGCAGGACAACAGAGACAACCAAACATAGAAATGAGACTTTGAGGCCACTGGTTACACCGCCGCGTCCATTTCCGTTTCCGGCGCTGGGGCTGCCCTTGCGTCGATTTTGCTGCGATGATTTGTCATCGCTGGCCAGCTGCAACATGGCAATATAAAACACATTAAGCAACTATACGACAACAGTCAATGAAATGTACAAATACATATGCATATGTACATATATGTGTATAATTTAATGTCTCTCTAAAATTCTTTACCAGCTTGTATTCGTATCTCATGTCTGTGCGTTTGCTGTCTATAAATAACCAGCATTTTCCTTAAAACACATGTTGCCAGCTGCCTCAATTGTTTGTTTAGTTCAAGTCTTTCTTTTCGGCCGTGAAGAGCAACGTATGCAATTCTTTCGGCACACACAATTTCGGCTTCTTATCTGTTACTTGGCAATGTTGGTGCCGTTTATCGGCAGCGAGGGCTACCAAGTATTTAACTATCGATAATTTGTGCTGCCAGGGCTGCACATGCTCATTGAGGTTTGCTAATGTGTTTTAGAACTTTGTTTTATTTATGCTGCTTGGACAATGCGAAAAGTGTTATATACATTGCTTTTAAGAGATTTGTTATACGCGTGTATATTTAAATTAAATTAAATTAATTGTCAATATGTTTGTTATACGCAAGCGTTTAGATTTTTTTATATCTCTTGGACTAGGGCTATGTAAAAAATGTTATACGATTTGTTAGCTCTTACAGATGTGTTATACACGTGTATTTGAGCAACTGTTGAAATGTATATTATGGTATTAAAATTAAATTGCATACTTATTTAATTTTAATTGTTTGTATAATTTTTTTGTATACTTCGCTGTGTCTTAAATCTTTGCTACACCTGATTAGTTAAGTAAAGAAAGAGTGTTATATTCCATAGGCGGAATAGTTTTGTTATACAATAGTTCCCCTAATGTATATTTCATATTTATAGAAGTCCCACCCATACTATTGAGGTTTTACTCTAGACAAACTATTTCTATCATTTGCTTATAACGATGACTACGCATTTATTTCATTCTCTCGCCGCTGATGAAACTAAAAGCTTTGGATTTATATTTTTCACATGGATTTGTATTCTAGTCTTATCTTATATTTCTACATATAATATACATGCATGGAATATTATTTATATTTTGAAATTACAACCATGTTAAACAACTTAATGGTCATGCTAAATATCAATTTTCTCTAGTGCTCCCTGTGAAGGTTATCTTATTGACAGATAAGATATCGGTTTGTTTAACTTTCAAGTCTTTTAGCTTGATTAAATATTATTTCTGAAATGGCAACGACAGCAGAGGAGAAGATGGCGGACTAGACAAACTCACCAAAATTCCCATTAAATTATTTACACAAATGTTTCAAGACCAGCAAATAAATTAGCACTAAGAAAACAAAAAGAAAACAAACAAAAGACTAGCAACTATTACAGACGGCAAATGTAATTATATAAATTTGTATATACTATCTAACATCTAGGGTATAAATACATATCACTAATTTACATGTCAATTGCATTGGCAATGCTTTAACAAAGCGCTAAATTGCTCCTCAGTGCGACCGTTGGGAATGTCGCCAGGTGCGCTGAGATGACGGCGCCTTCTAATCGATACAATTATAAAATACTTAAAAGAATTGATTTATATGTATGTAGGCGTATAGATGTATATTTTAAAGAAATAAAAAATTGACAACTATGACGTGACTAAACAGAATTCTCGCTTCGGCCAAACATTTTTCGTATCGCTTATCTTGAGCCGTGCATAACGTGGGTTAATATGCTTTGAGTGTTGCACTTATCAGTCGGGGAGTAAATAAATAACTTTATTGCTAACTATTTCACCATAAGTTATGAATATAACGGCAGCAAACAGTAGCACTTAAAAATATCTTATTATTATGATTCGTTCGGTAACTCGATTTTAAAGTCGATTTCAGTATTTATGAGTTTAAATTATAATGAATTATGAAATTATATTTAATTATTTATTATAATATTTATTATATTAAACTATTTATTTATATTCATTATTATTAATTTTTTAGCTAGCCTATAATCGTAGTATAGCCAAATGAATTTTAGTTTTAAATATATTAAGAATATTTTATTTATTATAAATATATGTGTATATAAAAAAAAAAAAAACGTCGGCAAAAAAAGTTAAATATAAAATCAATATTTAATTGAAAAATTTGTAAAATAATTTAATGCTTGTTTAGCAAAACCAAATGAAATTTAAAAAAAATGTTCGTTTTTATTAAAAATAAATATAAGCCTGCAAACCAATGAATTAATATTGTTGAAATTAGATTCATTTGAAGTAAAAAGTTATTATTTTTATATTTAAATATATATTTATATAAATAAATATAAATATATTTATATTTGTATATACATACATTTACTTATTCAACTATATGCTCAAATTTATTGCCCCATAAGGGTTAAGAATCGTACTTCAACCAGTTTTCCCCACACACTAAATTTTCCTTACGATAGAAAGCAATTTATTTACTACAGTGAACTATCTCAAATGCTCGCATCAATTTAACGACCTTGCGGCGAGTGAATGAGAACGAGAGAGAGTGAGTGGGTGAGAGCAAAATGCAAAAAAGGTGAGGCAAATGAAAAACCTGCTGATTCTCATATGCAGGAAGCAAACGAAACGCAAATTAAAACGGGCCGAGCGGTCAAAGTTTGGGTTGACGAACTAAATACGCGAATAGAGGCATATACAGACATATAGACAAGTATAATCAATATTTCGAATGTAAATAAATCAATATTCAGTCATATTTCATTTGTTAACAACCATCAACTTGACGACAGCTCATTTAGTCTGTAACAGAATTTGATTATACAGTGTTATACTGGTGTAACTGTTCGGTTACAGCAATAATAACTGTTATACTGACATATAGCGGTCTCAAAAACTATATGGTTTTATATTTAGCTTATTTCGGCTCCATTGTGGCTACTGTATTTCTGCAAATATTTTGCTCATCTCTATTTACAAAGTACTAAAATAACACCTGTTGCACATTAGCGTGTAACAAATACAAAGGCTCTCAGTCAATGTAATAAGCTAATCGTTTTAGGTCAGTTTAGCCATGAAATTTTTGTAGATTCATTATTCTTTATCCATGTCTACCGCCAACTGTTATATTCATGAAGCTTTAGACCATTTAGAGCAAATTACTTAGCTCAATTACGCTGCCTCAACTTTAAAAACTTACAAATATCAACTTTAAAGTTCATTTGCATCATTTAAATTTAGATCAGCTATGTAGATCAGCTGTTACTACGTACGTCCAACTGTTATGTTCTTGCCCTTAGATTACTTAGAGCAAACTACGTATATAAGTTGTGGCTCATATTCAACTGTAGCACACTTAGGTCCGCTATACAAATAACTCGTTGATCATATCCAACATTAGTACTTTTTTAAAACTTAGATCAACTATGCAGATCAGTCTTTTGCTCATCTCTAACACACTTATACTATTTGCCGGGCACACGCAGCAACAACAATTGAAATTGAACATCAATTAAGTATGTAAATAAACTTGGCACACTAAATGCGATGTGTTTGCTTTAATTTCCGTATCAGCGTATGTTTATATATATGTATGCGTATAAACGCGCCGAAATTAGCATTTGAAACAAATGTAACAATGCCCTTTAACCTTTGCCTACCTTTCTCTTTCGCACATCGGTGTTTGTCATTGTACTAAATTTGTGTAAACTCTTATTCGGCTTTATTCACTAACAAATTCGTTCATTTATTTTATTTTATTTTTTTTTTGGCAATCAGTAACGGTTCATTGGAGCGCTGAAGGGTAATTGTTTTTTACGCCTAAAACTACGAGCAATTAAATAGAACCAACCACCACGTCGTGCACGAAATGGCGTACTAAATTAAACTAAAGGTTGCCCAACAGCTGTTGTTGTTGATTTAAAGTGTCGAATCAGTGTTGAATAATACTGGTTTATGAATTAATGGTCACCCTTACAAGAACCAGTTGATAAGCGGCACCCCAAAAAATTTAGAGTTTTACTACTTCCTCTTTTAATATAAGTTTGAATACTTCTATTTTGTTTTATCTAGGAAAGCAATTCTCATTTAATTAACTTCAAAGAAACAGCAAAACATTTTTATTCAAATTCTTGTCGATTGAAATGGAAATCATATAGTTGGTATTTGTTTATATTGGTATTTTATGTGTATTATACATTATATGGTTCTCATACCTCTGGTCACGCTGATTTTTTGTTTTCTTTTACTCTTCTCAAGTACGGTATTGTTTTTTTTTTAACTTCTCTGTCTGCGGTCACACTGCGGTTAGTACCAAAACAAATGCCGTTCGGAGAAGTTGTACGCGTGCCTGTGTAACGCCGCAAGCGTTGTGGAAAAAAGTGTTTGTGAGAATTTCGTTTTACTGTGCAAAACCAGTAACAATAGCACAAAACCAAAATAAAAAGTAAATAAATTAAATATTTATAACAAATTTTTTCAAATAATTGCATACATAATAACGGCTCAAAAAATAATTTGTTGTGTATGTTTTTGAAGCAGAATCAGCCGTCCATCGAATAAGAGTGTGTGAGTGTGAATGAGTGTGCATATGTGTGAGTTCAAGTGGATGCGTATGCGGAATTGTAAAATGCAAGCGATCGCATAAAAATAAGTTATACATAAATTAAGTCAAAACTGCATAAGAAACAGATCAAAAAGCCAAATGTTAATTCACGCAGCGTAAAATTATAAAACTACAAGTCCAAAGCTGCAAATGTGGGGCCGTGCGTACATGTGTATGAGTGCGGGTGTGCGTGTATGTGTGTGTAACGACGACAAGAGCGCAATAAGATAAAATTGAAGGTTATTCTCTGAAAAAAAAACAAGTGCCTGTGTATATGTATGACAGAGAGAAAGAGCGAGCGGGCAAGAGAGAGAGAGAGAGTGAGAGGCACAGACTAAAATAGGGAGAGCGCACGCTCACTCAAAGAAAGCAGCGCACAAAAGCAAATGCTGAAAATGTCAATAAACTCTGCAAAGGTGAGGAAAAACGCAACGCAAGAGTAGCTTGCCAGTGGCAGAGGCAGCGGCAGAGCCAGCGACAGCGGCAGAGGCAGTAGCAGAGGCGGCGCTCTGCTGCCGTGTAAAATGAAACCCAGAGCAACAGCAGCAAAGAAAGCAGCCAGCAAGCAAGTGCAAAAAAGAACAACCCACACATAGGCATGCACACTCGCACATACACATACATACAGACACATACACACGTACACGTACGTTTATTAAGAAAGCGCACGTACGTGTGATTCTTATTGGATGGCGTTGCAGAAATAAAATCTGGTTTTGCGCTTGCAGCTTCCGCGTTGCAACTTCAACAGTTGCCGTTTTGCAGCATTTTGTTTATTTACTTTTTGTCAATTTGCTGTGCACGGTTGCTCGTTAACTCACACTCGCACACACACATGCATACACAGCGACGCTGAATAATTAATTTACCGTTAATAACTCACAGGTGAAAAGAAAAAAAGTATATATAAATAAAAAATAAAAAAATAAAAAAAAAAAACAACAGCAACAAAAAGCGGCGTTGTGCAATAATATTACCGTTCTCGTTATTGTGCAAATATATTTTATAAATCCACTTTTACAACAACAACAAATGTCTGATAAATTTGCATTAAAAAGAAAATGTAAAAAATGTGTCTAAAATAATTTAAAAAAAAAAAAAATCTAAAAAATTAATAAACAGCAAACAAATAATGTATGCAAATTATATAAAAAATATATACATGAAATTAGTAAACAGCTAAATAAATATTAAAAACAATTTATAATTAAGTGAGAAACATAATTCTGACTTCTGTGTAACATGGCAACACCTGTTTTTAGGGAATATCAAAAACAAATCTTATTAGACTGAATATACGCCCAATTGGAATACTAAATTTACAATTTTGAATGGTACGTGAGAAATGTTTTATACATTAAATTTAAGAGGGGAACTAAACATTAAGCTTTAGTTGAAAAATTGCATACATTTTTTATCATTTAATACTGATTTGTCTTATTAGACTTTAGTTAGACATGTAAATAAATTGGGAATATATAATAATCGATACTTCAAATTCTAAGTTAATCGATTGCCGATAGTTTACAAAGTTTTTCAGTAATGCTAAACTGAATGCTGGATTGTTAGATTATTGTAGAGCTATATATGTAAATATATTTATATATATAATCTTTTTGCTTATATGCATATTTTGTTGGACTCTCTTTGCTTTAATCTTGAACTTTTGCTGCTGGGCCCTCAGCCAATATTTCCGCCCACTTATCGCACATAACCACTTGAGCATTAACCACAAAAGCCTCTTCAACGGGTCAGGCAAATGAAAACAATTTAATTAACGCCCAATTGCGAGGGAAACGTTTGGCTGAGAGAGCTGAGATCTGGCAGTCGCAGCGATCCGATCCAAGCAATGCGAGCCGAGGTCCACACTTCAGTTGAAGCAGCGAAATGTAACGGCGCCATTGGTCACTTGAACTACTTTCTTGTGGGAGCTGACTCATGCGACTGCCGTTCGGATCGGTTCGGTTCGGCTTGGATCGGATTTGGATGGTGACTGCGGCTGCGGCAACTGCAATTGTGCAGCGGTTGGCCCGGAGGCCACCGGAAATTGTTTCCACCGTCAAAAAGCACACGAGTTGTCAAGATGAGGAGAGGTGAAAAGAGGAGGGAGGAGGAGGGTAGAGTGGAGGAGTTTGGTGGAGAGCAGAGCAGTGAAGAGTGGAGACGAGGCGCAGTTAAGAGAAGCTTTTAACGATGCGGCCCGGGCACGTTTTGAACTCTGCTTCCACTTCTTCCTCTCCTCCTGTCTCTCACTTTTCTCTTCCACTCATTCTTCTTCGTCATCTGTGTGTGGCTTGACCTAGAAAAATCAAAGACTTTCGGCCTGTGCCGTAGGTGTATTGTAATCATGATGTTCATAACTGTGATAATGACGTTGTCAATGATCTTGGCCATTGACGATAATGATGTTGGCATCGCATAAACCATTTTAAATGTTGGCTCATTATTATTTTGACTACGTCGACGTCGCGTTGCGGTTATTGTGTTTATTGGTCGCCTCTGCTGCAGTTGCGCTTTTCACTCATAATGTGTATACCCTGTAAATTAGTGAGTTGTTGCTGAAAGGTGGCTAATTTAGTGGCGAAATACATTTATGTGAATGCATATTGTTAGACAGACTTTCAGCTTGTTATACCCTGAACCCATTGAAAATGGGAAATCAGGGTATATTGGTTTTGTTAAAAGTATGTAACAGGCAGAAGGAGGCGTGGCAGACCCCACAAAGTATATATATATTCTTGATCAGGGCGACGAGCTGAGTCGATTTGGCCCTGTCCGTCCGTCCGTCCGTATGTATGAACGCGTCGATCTCAGAAGATATAAGACCTAGAGACTTGAAATATTTTTTCCTAGGTCCGTGTATATCACGCGCATTTCGAGTTTTTCTCTATATATCGATAACTAGTCCCGATATTTTATTATCGATTAAAAACCTTATCGAACGCTAGTTAATTAATTGTATCTCCTACACCTTTAGAGCTAGAGCTTCCAAATTTTAAACTTATATGTATTTTATAAATTTTGGATTTTTGCTGTAATTTACCCCCACTCTTATATCCACCCCCTCACCCTCATCTTTGTAAAAGACGTATTTCAAGTACTAGAGACTTGTGCTTTGGAATGTACATACATTTGAACATTATGATTATGTTCATTAAGATTGTACGTATAGAAATTAAATTATTCAACAAACAAATTCTTATAATGTTGCGCACACTGCAGCGCAGCCCAAGCGCAATCGCTGCTTACTGCGCAGTTAGCAGAGCGCGTTCTAATACGTGCGTGTGTATGTATGTGTGCCGAAAATAAGTGCAGAGTGATTAGAATATCAGATTAGAGGGTTCAGGGTATCTCCTAGTCTGAGCTTGTTATAAAAAGCAACTACTCTACATTTACTACAGGGTATTAATTAGTCGAGGCAGTTATTGGCTTATTGCTCATACTTGTTCGTAACTGGGTTTATGTACGGTCTTGGCTTTTATCAGTTAGCGGGAGCAGCTGCAGCAGGAGACTGCTTCGCTATCTCTCTCTTTCTCTTGTACTATATCTTTCCCCCTCTATCGTTCTCCATTGGCCAAGGTTGTCGGCAAGTTTTGTAAGTTGATTGGTTTTTTTCCGAAATTTTTGGATCCGTGTACCCCATTGGACACGTCCAATGCTTTGTTTATGTTCTTGAACTCTTTTATTTTTTAAGTGTGTCTAAACGTGGCCTCAAATGTTAATTTACAGCTTTTGCTGTCATAACTTAAGCAGATGCCAAGTGGTAGGAATATAAGCAGCAAGTACAGACAAATTGAGTTAAGGGCCCGCAACATCGAGAAAAAAGTTTGGTGTTATCGATTAAAATGTAGAAATCTATAATGTTATATTGAAGGGACTCTTTAGTTAAACACCAAAAGGGTGGACTGCAGTTAGAATTAGGAGAAAGTTACTATGTTATATATTATCGATAACTTATTGATTTAGAATTTGAACCGAAACTGCCAAAAATATTTATTGTTAACTAGAATAGTTAAATAAAAACTCCTAGATCATGATGGCTATGAACTATTTATAAACAAGATTGCTATATTGATATAAATTTTGTTTGCAAAAAAAACTGAGTTAAGTTTTAAGTCAAAATTGACAACGATTTTGATTGAATTTCGAATATTTAAATATTATCGACAAAAGGAAAAAACGAAGGATTTCATTTGTCAACTAAATATGAAAATAAAAAAATTATTGTGAAATTGCTTGAGACTATAAGATTTTATTGGTAATGTTATCAATAAATGTTAAAAACTACAAAACTGAATGGTATATATGTTAATTATTGATATATTGGTCAAATATGGGGTAAATTATATTATTATTTATTATTTAAGAATAATATTATTTATCCCTAATAATGAATATACATATCTAAAGCTATCGATCAAAAACTTTAATGTTATCGATTAAAGCTGTAAAATGAAATAGAAATAGGCAAAACAGCTAAAACTTATCTTCAAAGAATCCAGTTAATTTATCTATTATTTGGCGAAATCAGATCGATAACGATAACAAAGCTATTGGCCGCTTTCTGTTGCTAGAACTTTTTAAAATTGCTGTCAATCAATACTGGAATTTAATTTATATCCAGGCTTTGTTGTAGTGTTGCGTGTGGTCCAAATTGTATTCGATTATTGTTTCTCAAAAAGCAAAAAAAAAAAAAAAAAAAAAATCGAAAGCTTAGTGTGCATTATGTTGTTTGTAATTTGTCAGTGAATGCCATGTCAAATGTCTAATTTGCCAGTTGTTGTAACAACAGCAAAGGCAACAACAACGACAACAGCAACAACATGAACAACAACAATATCAGCGGCAACATCTTTTGTTTTTGGTTTCGACCATCTGTTAACCGGTTCTCGATACATCCGCAGGCACATATCGATTGTTACATGGCAACATCAGTCGCTCTCTTTCACTCTCTGACTGCTAATTAGCAGTTAACAATTGCAGCATTGACCTCCTCCCATAATTCTTCAGCTGTTGCTGTTGCTGTTGCTATAGCTGGAGCTGGAGCTGTAGCTGTTGCTGTTGATGTAGCTGTTGCTGTTGCAGCAACAAGGTTTTCGCTTTGTTCTATTGTCTCTGAGGCGAGAGATCAAAGCGCAGATACAATAACATGGCAGCAGGTTTACCTTGTTGTAACCTCAAACGGTAAGAAGCAGACGAAGTCAAAGAAACTTGTTGTTGTTGCTGTTGTTGTTGTTGGCTGGCAACATTGTTGCTGAACTGCTGCTGCTGTTGCCATTTGGCTGCAACAGTTGCTGTTGCTGTTGACTTTTTGGCCAACATTGCTTCGCTTTTTATCGTTTGTTGTCTCCTTTTTTTTTTTTTTTTTGTGGCTTTTTGTTTGATTTTTGCAACTGCAACTTTGGCAATTGCCATAACTGTTGGTGCTGCTGCTGCTGCAGTTGCTGTTGCTGGTCGACACGGCGCCGTTTCTATTGCCTATGTGTCTGTATAAACATGATCGTTTTGGCCAATTTCTGAGCGCTGCAGCAACAGCAACAGCAACTGCAACTGCTGTTCGTTCTGCTCCTGCTGCCCGTTAAGCAAGCAGCTGCCGTTGCTGCAACCGCGAAACATGTTGCACAGCAAAAGTTGTTGCTGCTGTTGCAGTTGCTGTTTGCTGTTGCTGTTGCAGTTGCCGTTGCTGCTGCTGCTGCTGTTGATGGGTTGTGTAACAATTGTTTCGCACTGCATTTGAACTCGGGCATAAGCCAAGCCGTTTGCATTTAGGAAGTAAATGGGAACTACAAATTGTATATAAGGATACCTTAAATTTTGTAACTCAGTTACAATAATAATCATTAAATAAAAAGTCCAAAATCACTAATAAATATTTGCTTTTAGTCATATCGATATGATGAAAATATACCTTAAATTTTGTAACCAATTAAAAATTAAATTAAAATAATAAATTTCCTTTTTTATATAATTTAAATATAATCTTTTGAATCAAGTTTATTTTGTAATTGTAAAAAGATATCAATTTT